ATCAGGATGCTCAAAGAACTCACTGGGTACTGTAATAACATAAAAAGGATGAAGGCAGAAATGAAGGTCACATTAAATCGGGGTGTCAAACTCATTTTCACCAAGGGCCACATCAGCTTCATGGTTGCCTTCAAAGGGCCAAAATAATTTTAGGATTGTATAAATGTAACTACTCCTTAACTGTTAAGGAATTAAAATTACATTTGGCCCTTTGAAAGTAACCATGAGGCTAAAGTGGCCCCCGGAAAATGAGATTGATACCCCTGCATTAAATGAAATAAAGAAAAATCATCAGGGAACCAGCAGTGGTGGGGATGAAGCCAAGAATCAAATCGATTTGGAACATAAGGAAAAAAGTCTTCAGTAAGAACAGCAAGGAGAAAACAGAATTCAAAAATATGAGAATCGAATGAGGAGCCTCTGGGACATCTCCAAACATACCAACATCTGAATCATAGGGATGCCAGAAAAAGAGGAAGAACAAGAAATCGAAAACTTATTTGAGGACTTCCGGCCAAGATGGGGGCGTAGGTGGAAACATTGTGTTTCTTCACACAACCAAATTTAAAGACAACAAAGATTTAGAAACAAAAATGCAAGCAAACAGACAGAAAAGTAAATTGTATTGAAGTCCGACAACAACAAACCATTCATCCAGACTGGTAAGAGGGGCAGAGTCGGCGGTGGCAGAGAGGGATCCTGGCAGGAGGAGGCTGTGATTGGTGACCCAGGTGGGCACAGACAGAAACCCAGTAAGGTTCGCAAGGTGACCGGCTGGCCTCGGACACACATTTGCACGCAGAGAAACCAGGCAGGTTTAAAAATGGGCAGTGAGACAGACCACGCAACCCAGGGCCCCGGTGATGAAAATTAAAGCCTAAAAGCACCAACTGGAAAAACTTTTGAGGGCTGAGGTGCTGGGAGAGGCTCCTAGCCCCACAGAAAAGTTTGTTGGGAAGACCCACAGGGTCCTAAAACAAACACAAGCCCACCCACCCAGGAACCAGCACCAGAAGGGCCCAATTTGCTCGTGGGAAGCGGCAGAGGGGACCAAAATCTGAGAGACAGCAGAAAAAACACCAAAGCTCCCTCTCTGACCCTGCCCCCAGTCACAACCCAGAGACTGGGCTGACCCACCCTGGCGAACACCTAAGGCTCCACCCCTCATACGTAACAGGCACAGGCGTGAACAAACAAAAACATTATGGTTCAAGCAGAAGAACAGCTCAAAGCCCCAGAGTCAATACTTCTAAGCCACCAAGAGATAGCTAACCTATCAGATGCACAGTTGAAAACACTGGTGATCAGGATGCTCACAGAACTGGTTGATTTTAGTCACAAATTAGACGAAAAAAATAAAGGCTACACTAAGTGAAATGAAGCAATTACACAGGGAACCAATAGTGATGGAAACAAATCTGGAACTAAAATCAATGGAGTAAACCAGAAGGAAGAAAGAAATGACCAAACAGAAAACAATGAAGAAACAAGAATTTTTAAAAAATGAGGAGGGGCTTAGGAACCTCCAGGACATCTTTAAATGTTCCAACATCCAAATTATAGGGATACCAGAGGGAGAAGAGGAAGATCAACAAGTGGAAAACTTATTTGAACAAATAATAAAGGAGAACTTCCCCAAGCTGGCAAAGGAAATAGACTTCCAGGAAATCCAGGAAGCTCAGAGAGTCCCAAAGAAGTTGGACTGACTCAAGGAGGAACACACCAAGGCACATCATAATTACATTAGCCAAGATGAAAATGAAGGAGAGAATCCTAGAAGCAGCAAGTGGTAAGGGGACAGTCACTTACAAAGGAGTTCGCATCAGACAGTCAGCTGATTTCTCAAAAGACACCTTACAGGCAAGAAGGGGCTGGAAAGAAGTATTCCAAGTCATGAAATCCAAAGACCTACAACCAAGATTGCTCTATCCAGCAAAACTTTCATTTAGAATGGAAGGACAGATAAAGTGCTTCTCAGATAAGATCAAATTCAAGGAGTTCATCATCACCAAGCCCTTACTATATGAAATGTTAAAGGGACTTACCTAAGAAAAAGAAGATAAAAAAGATGAGCAGTGAAAGGACAGCAAACTCACAGTTATTAACAACCACACCTAAAACAAGAGCAAATTAAGAGGACAGCTAGATCAGGAGTGAACCATAGAAATGAAGATCACATGGAGGGTTAGCAACAGAGGAGTGGGAGGAGGAGAAGGGGGGAGAAGGTACAGAAAATAAGTAGCATAGACAGTAGATAGAAAATAGATAGGGGGAGGGTAAGAATAGTATGGGAAATATAGAATCTAAAGAACTTGAGACACGTGTTCATGAATTAAAGAGGGGAGAATGGTGGGGGAGGGGTGTGCAGGGTGGAGGGGAACAAAGGAGGGGAAATAGAACAAATGTAATGGCATAATCAATTTTTAAAAAGTTTAAAAAAATAAAATAAAGAATACCTGCAAAAAAAATAGCAAATGCACAACTACCAGCAACTGAATCTAAAAAGCAAACTAAGCAGCCCTGGCCGGTGTAGCTCAGTGGATTGAGCATGGGCTGCGAACCAAAGGGTTGCTGGTTCAATTTCCAGTCAGGGCACATGCCTGGGTTGTGGGCTAGGTCCCCAGTGGGGGGCACGTGAGAGGCAACCACACATTGATGTTTCTATCCCTCTCTTTCTCCTTCCCTTCCCCTCTCTAAAAAAGTAAAAATAAATAAAATATATTTTTTAAGTTTTTAAAAAAGCAGTAAATATGGGGGTCATTTGGAGGATTATCAGCTGGGAGGGGAAGGAGGGAGAAAAGGTTCAAGGATTAGGATTAAGAAGTACAAATTGGTGGGTACAAATGGTACCTACCATTGGTAGGGAGATGTTAAGAACAGTATAGGAAATGGAAAAGCCAAATAACTTATATCCATGGACATCAACTAAGGGAAGGGGTTGCTGGAGGGAATGGGGGTACTGAGCAGAGGGGGGTAAAGGAGAAGAAATTGGGACAACTGTAATAGCAAAATCAATAAAACATCTTTAAAAATCTTTTAAAAAAGAGTGGCTGGATATTGAGGAATGAATAGCCCAAATAAGTAGTACACCAATCCTTAAAGAATACAAGGTCTGTCCAGAAAAAGTCCAGCCATTGTTAATATAATTATGATTTGTGTGACAATGACATCTACGATTTGTGTGTAAACTGGCTGCCAAGGAGAGGGAAAGTGGACTGGAGTGCACATGCGTGAACAATGACAACTTCATTGTACCAGTCACTGGGGGTGGTAGATGCCATTGAGTGAGCATGTGTTCTGAGTGGCCATCACATTCAAAATGACTGAGTGAGTAGAGCAATAAATCTGCATCAAATTTTGCATTAAGCTTGAACATTCTTCATGGAAACTATCAGATGATTCAGAAAGCTGCAGCTATGGGCAACTGGAGATTGGCAGTTTTATCACGACAACACACCCGCTCATGCATCACATCTGGTGCGGATTTTTTGCAAAACACCAAGTCACTCGGCCCCACTATAACCCAGATTTGGCACCCTGTGACTTCGGCTTTTCCCAAAGCTAAAATAACACCTTTAAAATAGAAGAGATTTCAGACCGTTGATGAGATTCAGGACAATACGAGAGGGCGGCTAATGGCGACTGGGAGAACTGTGTGAGGTGCCAAAGTGCCTACTTTGAAGGGGACTTTCAAAGGGTCTTATTGTCCTATGTACAATGTTTCTTATATCTTGTATCTTCTTCAAAAATGCCTCTATTTTTTGTACTACATGGCTGGATACCATCTGGACAGACCTTCACATATTGCTAAAAGCCAATCATGCTTCTACATTTAAACCTAACATTGAAGCCTAAATTCAAACTATTTTATTATAATTAACCTGTACCAGTCAGCCTATAGCTCAAATTTGATGACCAAACATAGAAAATCTTTTAGCAAAAAAAAAAAAAGAAAACCTTTTACCAAAATGCAGTTTGTTTGAAGTAGAGGGCCTCATTAATGTCACTGGGATTCTTTCTTGAAAACAACAATTTTATTTATTTTAAAATGGATATTAAAAAAGCTCATAACAAAATTCAAAAGGTACAAAATGTATACAGTAAAAAGTAAGTCTCCTTTTTACCTCCAGCCTCCAGCCTATTACTCAGAGGCAACCAACATTATTATTTTCTTGTACGTTTTTTCAGAAGTAGTCTATGCAAATATATGTAATCTTTTAAATATTTTTATAAGAAATTATAGCATATTATGCATACTGTTGCATAACTTGCTTTTTCACTTAATATTTTGGGAGATTGTTTCATATGAATGCATACAGGACTGCCCTGTTTTATGTATAGGATGAACCATAATTTTATTTATTTATTTATTTATTTATTTGTTTGTTTGTTATTTTTTATTTATTTCTCTTTAGAAGGGAAGGGAAGGAGAGAAACATCAGTGTATGGTTGCCTCCCGTGTGTCCCCTGCTGGGAACTGGCCTGCAACCCAGGCATGTGCCCTCACTGGGAATCGAACCTCGATCCTCTGGTTCACAGGTCTACGCTCAATCCACTGAGCTACACCAGCCAGGGCCTGAAAAGTTTTCTTATACGCATAATTTATCTTTTCATTATGTGATTAAACCTTGCTTTTCCTTTTTCAGTAATTCATTTTAACGTTTCCTGGAGCCAGGACATTTTGTTTTCCCACCCAGGACTGCGCGGGATTTAGAGTGGTGAAGATATGCTAGGGGGGCATTTCAAACCTCATGTAGCATTGATTCTGTCTCTTAAAGAGCAGCTGTTCTCCTTTTCATTCAAAGCTGCTCTGGATTTGGAGAGTGAGATACAGGAGAGCCCGAACATCCTGCCAGGGAGCGGCTTGCTCTCCCTCTTTCTTTCTCTCTTCACCGAAATTAGTAGAATCTTAAGAATAACAGGTAGGTTGGGGGAGATGGGCAGGCATCTGCTCTCTCCTCCAGAACATGGCTAATCATGGCAGACAGTAGTATGTCACCATGGCTGTGGGAAGTGGGAAGTGGAAGGCAGGTGACCTCTCCGTATTTACTAACACCCTCTCGGACAGGCACCCATCGTTTGGCTGATGGTCACCAGGGCTGATCAGAGTGTGTCCTGTTCTGCCTGCAGTGGAATAGGTGGCTGCAGAAGGGCACATACTTGTGAGGGAAAAGAGTAGCAGTGTTGTCACCTGGTCCAGAATGGGAAAACAGTACAGCACCGTACATCGCTGTGGTTTTGTGTTTCTCTGCATTTTCCCTCAGTTCTACTCGCTTGTCTCTTTTCTCAAATAAAAGCTTGTCCATAGTCAGTGCTCCAAAATATACGGTGTAAATAATAGGTACTTCTTTCTGAACCTGTTCTTCCGAAATTAGAGCTTTTTGTTGTTGTTGCTCTTGTTGTTTTTCTCGGGCCGCTTTTTCGTCTTCATGTTTAAAATAAGAGTTATGTGCTCTCTCTCTTCAAGGAGGCGGGAGCGGCCTCCCCGCAGACCCAGACGTGCAGATCTTTGTGCAGATCCCGACTGGCAAGACCATCACCCTCATGGTTGAGCCCAGTGACACTACTGAGATCGTCAAAGCTAAAATCCAGGGCAAGGAGGGCATCCCGTCCGACCCGCAGCGTCTGATTTTTGCAGGCAAACAGCGGGAGGGCGACCGCACTCTCTCAGACTGCAGTACTGAGCAAGAGCCCACCCTGCACGTGGTGCCTCGCCTGCAGGGCGGCCTCCTGGAGCCTTCCCTCTGCCAGCCGGAAGTACACCTGCCACCAGGTGACCTGCCTGCCGCAAGTGTTGGCCCCACCGGCACCGCAGCGCTGTCAACCGACTGAAGAAGTGCGGCCACGCCAGCAACTTGCGCCCCGAGAAGAAGATTAAATAAGGCCCCTCTGCCACCTCCTTCCACTGCAGGTTCAGCCTTCTGCCTGAACCCCGTGGCCCTGGGGCCTCAATAAAGTTCCCCTTTTGTTGACTGGGAAAAAATTAAAAATAAAATAAGAGCTATGTACCTGTTACTGTTAAAGTACAGCCTCATTTATATTTCAATTTGTTTAAATCCTCACCAGAGGATACGCTTATTGATTTTACAGAAAGAGGAAGTGAGAGGAGAGGAAGAGAAACATCAACGTGAGAGAGAAACATGGATGAGTTGCCCCCCTACTTCACACCCCACCCCTGCAGGCACCCCTACTGGGAACTGAACGCACAGCCTAGGTATGTGCCCTGACAGGATTGAAACCCACAACCTTTTGGGGCCTGGGAGGGTGCTCCAACCACCTGAACCACCCGGCCAGGGCCGCATTTCTATTTTCAAAGTCAACAATTCTGCTGTCAAAAATTAAGTAGGTGGGCCCTGACTGGCGCTGCTCTGTGGTGAGGCGAACGTGATAACCACTACACTAAGGAAACGCTGATGCTCTGCTGTTTGAGCATCTTCCCAAAAAGCTAACAGTTACCAGTTCAATTCCTGGTCAGGACACATGCCTGGGTTGTGGTCCAGGTTCCCCAGTCGGGCAACCCATCACCCATCTATGTTCCTCTCTCGTATTGATATTTCTCTCCCTCCCTTTCCATCTCTCTAAGAAGTAAATAAAATCTTTTAATAAATAAATAAAATGTTTTTTAAAACTTAAGTAGATAGATCCTGTTCTCTCCGTCTGTAACAGGAAGCGAGGAGAGCAGATACAGAGCACGATCAAACGAGAGCCCTGGGGGAAGGAGGGCTGGTGTGCCTTCCCCGCCACTGGGGCTGCCAGCATGTGTCTCCACTCCCGTAGCGGCAGGGGGACGCGTGTCTGCTGGAGAAAGTCACTTCCTGGCCACCTTTAGAGTCCTCCTTGTGAGGATGCCCTCCTTCCTGCCTGGAACATCCCTTGTGACTCGACTTGCCAAAAGCGACAACTGGAGCACCTACTTACACTGGAGCCAGAGTGTCCGTGTGCACTGGAAATCTAAACTCAGGGGTCAGAAAGAACAGGAGCCTGTGGAAATCTTTGTCCAAGTGGAAATGCCAATGGGCCACTTGATACTGATGCCTTTGTGAGAGCCACCAGTGTGACAGAGGCCTTTCAGTGCCTCTTCAGGATTAGTTCATCTCTAAGTAGAAGATCCTGGCTGCCATGTCCTAGGGGCCTGGACATCTGTGGTGTGACGTCTCTGCAGACTACCTGGCTCTTGAAGGAGGTCAGACTCCAATGCTAATGAGTAAACGGGGACGTGGAGAACCAGCACAGGGATGGGGTTTCCCTGTCTGTGGGCACTTCCTTCAGAAGCAATCCTTGGGAACGAAGTCCGAGTCCCTTTGTTAGACTTGAAGCCACAGGTAGGGTAGCACAAGGCATTTACCCCAAGGGTTGCTGCCTAAGCACACGGGACAGGAGCTCCTGGAACCTGGTTGCCTCCCGTTAAGGTCCACACTGGGGCCCTGATCTGGGCTCTGCCTTTGGGTGAGCAAGTGACCTTCCCTGTGAGGATGGAGGAAGGCGGCCCTGCTGACCTCCCCCTGAGACTGCAGAGGGTGATGTAGATGCCAAATACTGCCAGCAACCTGCCCATCCAATAGAACTGGGCTTAGGAGTATTGACTAGTGACCAGGGCCTAGGACTCAAAGCCTGGCAGGGATTTGCCTTGTAAGTGTACGAGTGACAATGATATTTAGTCCACAGCACCTCCCACTCACAAGGGTTGCAATTGGCATTTCAGTACGGAATGTGAGATGCCCAATGGTTATGAAGCCAAAAAATGGTTGTCCCAGTCTGGTGTGGGCGTTTATGTCATCCTTAGTATTGTCCCAGCACAACCTGAGGAGGCAGTCAGGGTCCATCTATTCGTATGACTCACCCTGTGTTCTCCCAGCATGAAAAGATTTCCTTCAAGGTTAGAGAAAAGACTGCCCCGCCCAGGCACAGCTGGTTAATTTGTTCTAGAAGGAGGTGGTAAAGCAAGCAGTGTGTGGCTGTGGGTGGCTCCCTGAACCAACACAGAGCCTCCTGCTGGTGGCTGATCCCAACACTCACCAGTAGTGCCTTTCAGTCTCTTTCTTTCTCACTTGGAAATACCCACAAGGTTTCACAAACTTCACAATAGCAAAGATCACCTATGCAGAAAAGAGTGGCTCACTTTTCTGTTGATTCTGATTTTCTGTTTAAAAGAACATGAAACAATTTCAGGATGCTAGAAAAGCCCAAAGGCACTGCGGGGGTAGGAACACTTGCCCTGTGAGTTTTATCTGGATGAAAGGATCTGGTGAGTACAGTAGCTGCTCCCAGCTGAAACTTATTGTCCTTCTCAAAAAGCCCTGTCACTGGCTTGGAGAAGAATGTTCTTATTTACAAAGATTTTTACATCTTTGATTTTTCCATAGAAACTGCAGGATTTGTCTGCAGGCAACTGAGTCTGTAACCCAGATTAGAACTGTTTTCCACGTCCCTTTCTCAAGCCCTTATCTGAGCCAGGGCTTTTGGACAGATTAGTGGAGGTGCCCAGAGGTTTTGGATGTCTCCTGTGTGTCTAGGGGAACCCTGGGGAGGTGAAGCCACTGGGGAGAAATTTGGAATTGACATTAGAGCAGGAGTCCCTTTTTCTTTTGCTTGAATGCAGAAAGTGAAAAGAAAAAAGTTTTGCCAGGTAATTTTTATTTTGACTATTCGTGCAGTTAGCCTGAATCTTCAGTGAGTCCACCCTCCGTATGCCTTTCTGTCTTTCAGTTTTAGCCAAGCTCTAGAAACATGGAAGAGCTTTCCTCAGTGGGGCAGGCTACGCAGTCCTGGAATGCGGGGACTTTTGGTCAAAAAGCAGGGGGAAAAGTGCTGTTAAATGTATACATAAAGCCGGACACACAAGGACAAAGAGTGCGTGATTCCGTTTATTCGAGGTAACTGGAGCAGTCAAATTCAAAGGAAGTGAAATGGGAAGGGTGGTTGCAGGCCTGGGGGACGGTGAGGGGAACTGCTGTCTGGGGAGCTGCCGGAGCTGGATAACAGCGATGCTTGCACCACACTTTGAGGCACTTAACGGCACTGAACTGTAACACAAAAATTGTTAAAATGGTGCACTTTATGTTATGTATATTTTATCCCCCTCTGACACACTCTATGGTGTTTTGCTATTTAACATTATTCTTTAAAAAATATGGGGGGCGGTGGACAGGGCAGGGGAGAGAAAGGGGGAAAATGGGCACAACTATAACTGAACAATAGAAACATTTAAAAATTAAAATAAAAAATGAATGATAAAACTTTAGCATGACTTTTATCCTTCCTCTATATTATGCAATGCCGCTTTTAAATGAAACTATCAGACTATTTAACTTGTATTTGGAATCACTGATATTATGCAGTTGGAATTTTGTGGCTCATTCCGGGAGTCAGCTAGAAGAGATGAACATGAATCAGGCTCAGGAAAGGTGAAGGGAGAAAGACAGGATCCTCTGGGCCCAGAGCCTAGAGAAAGAGCTTCCGAGGGCATGGGCCCTCACGGGTGCTTGGGGCAGGTGCTCTCTTGGGCCTGACAAATACCCTCATCCATTCCCAGGCCTGCCACCCAAGCCCACAGCAAATGGGCTACTCCCAGGTATCTTTAAAACTCAGAGCTGGGAGTGGGACTTCCGGCCAAGATGTAGGTATAGGTAGACACATTGTGCCTCCTTGCACAACCAAAAGAAAAACAACAATCAGAACTGCCAGAGAATCGAACTCAGTGGAATTCAGATAACCAAGGAGTTAAAGAAGAAACATTTATGCAGACCAGTAGAAGGGGTGGAGACTGGCACCCAGGCAGTATAGGAGACCATTCTGCGTGGCATGGGCCCAGCTCCCACTCGGAGATGCACAGGACCCATGCCCACGGATAGGTTCTTCCATGGGAAATCAGGCCTGCATTGTACCTAGACTGCTATGAGACTTGCTTTTGCTAAAACTCCCTCACCCTGAATTGAGACAGAAGTGCCTACTGTAACTCCCTAAAATCCATGCTAAACCTTCCAAGGATGAGTGTAACCAGTTCAAACCCTTTTCCCTTTGCATTTGCAAATGTCCTTCTTCTGTGATGTGATTAGCAGCATTGTCTCCTTTGTTTTCTGTAAAAGGTAACCATTTAAAGTGAACCTGTGTATAGTATATGAGGACCATTATGTAATGTGCCCCGAAAAGAAATAAAGGCTAGTTAAGGCAAGGGCCGAGGCTTTTTCTCCTCTTGAGAGAGAAGCCATGCTGTCCCTTTTCCTCCACAGGACTCGGTAGTCCATGTTAATTCCTCGTGCCTCATCCACAATGTGGCAGACCCCATGAGCCGGGGTCTGCATCAGGGCAGAGAGGACTCCCAGCAAGGCGGGGGTTGGAGGACCAGGGTGGGCAAGGCGGCAGCTGGCGGGCCAGGCAGGGGCTGGCAAACCTGGTGAGGCGGCTGCTTGCAGATTGTGTGGTCCCACATTCGTGTGCAGATAAACTGGGAGGAACAACTGGGGAGCAAGATAGACCATGCAACCCAGAGTTCTAGTGCAGGGAAATAAAGCCTCAAACCTCTGAATGAAAACACCTGTGGGGGTTGCGGTGGCGGGAGAAACTCCCAGCCTCACAGGAGAGTTCATTGGAGAGACTCACAGAGTCCTGGAATGTATACAAAACCACCCACCTAGGAATGAGCATCAGAAGGGCCCAATTTGATTGTGCATAGTGGGGGAAGTGACTAAAAGCCGGCCAAGGGCCCAGCAAGCCTCATTGTTCCCTCTCTGACCCCTCCTCCACATATAGCACCACCACACAGCAATGTGGGTTGCCCCACCCTGATGAACGCCTAAGGCTCTGTCCCTCATTATGTAACAGGTGCACCAAGACAAAAAAAAAAAGGCCCAAATGAAAGAACAGATCAAAGCTCCAGAAAAAA